CATGGATTAACAAAATTGTAAAATGTTGATAAGAAAATGAGAGAGGAGAAAGTATCTAGTTAAGAATAGGTTGAGGTACATGATTTTCTTACCTGCCCACATAATAATACCACCAGCATTTTCAATCCTCTTTCTCTCATCACTTCTGTTTGGTTTATGATCATCAGAGAGAGCAATTGCTGTCCAGAAGTTATGATGAAAACAAGATATTTATTAAAAGCCACTAGACAAATTCTTAGCAGTCAAACAGTTCTACCAAGAAAACAACAATAAATATTCTACAGCCATGTAATCTTAAAATGGGTGTTATGTACAAAGAAGTTAATTGCCATATGAATTAACTACATATGTTGATTCCATATCGCATCATTTTGGGTGCAATAAATATGATCACCAAATCTGACTGTAAGACTTATGTGTGCCTGCTCATGGTGACATTATTGCCAACAGGAAAAACTAATGCTTCATTACTTAGTTTCTGATTGAAGTGCTGACAGAATACATATATATTGGTAATCCAAACAACAAAGTACTTGTATGTATGCAAACACACAAGAAGAATGTCATGTCAAAAGGAACTGAAAATACCTTTTCCTTTTCTTGAGATGATGGTCCTTGAATCTCCAACATTAGCAACATATAGATGATTCCCGACCAAAACTGCTGTTGATGCAGTAGAACCATCATCACGGAGGGTATCTTTTTCGGAGTTCAAAAAGTCCTTATCCGTTTGTTGATATGTTTCACCTGTAACACACACCAATTTTCTTGATACCCAATTTCTTTGTATAAACAACAGACTATGCATAGCCCATTTTACATTTTATTTAAAACCTTCAAAGTTTAGAACTGTAGCACATATCTGTGCCACCTACTACACTGAAGGATTGATTTTGGGAATACAAAATACATCAAAATATTACTATTCACACATTTACTATTCACAAGGTTAAACTAAATGTTCTTTCTTGTCATGTTTTCATAAATAATTTGACCAAATAATATAGTCCTTGTTACCTTTTGTTTTCTAAAACTTTTGCTATAACTTTTAATATATAAATTCTTATTTATTTCTATACCAATTTTAAAATTAATTGATTTGAAAATAAATTTAGTCAACCATCGTAAACCAATCAGCCTTTTATTTTGGGACAGAGGGAGTACTTACTTATAGCACATTTTGTGTTTGTTACAAACTCAGGATGCTTCAACAGATTCCCGAACAGATTTTGTTTTAAATACTCAGCTGCACGTGAACCTCCATGGCCTGCAGTAGCACACAAAGATCATTACTACTAAACTCCCAGGCTCCTTAGCTCTGACTTCTCCTAACAAAGGGGGCTCAGTTTAGAGAAGAAAAAGTTGAATATTGCAGGCCTGATAATGCAGAAGCCTCTTCAGATTCAACATAAGTCATAACCTTTTTCAATGCTGATTAAAGATATTAATAATTGTGGATTCATTCTCACAATGACGGAAAAATATCTTAAACCATTTTCAAATTCAAAACATAGACGTTAGTTTATACCAGTAGTAAAGAAATCTACCATGCAAGGAGTAAAACATAGAGAAAACACCAAAATAAGAATTCCATGTTTTAACCCTAAAATAGGACTAGTGCCTTGTGGCAATTTGGCATTGTATATTGGTATTTCATAGTGTTGTTTTTTGGTATTATATGATGATAACACGTAGCTCTTATTTTGGTACTTCATGTTTTTTTACTCCTTGTTTAGTATTTTTCCTTTATAGTGCAGAGTATGTTTTTTTAAAGACGTCTACCAGCTACACAGTCACTCACATGCACAGACCATTGAATAAGCTTCCATAGATGATCAAATTGGAAAGTTCATAAGTAATTGAAGGTGCACGGAATAAGGAAGATAATTTAGTTTGAGTCACAGAGTTCACGCTAGAAACACTTGCTAATAAAGCTATACTTACTACTCTAGAAACAGCATGTTGAGATGATAACAAATAGAGTAATACACTAACCGTCAAATATCCCAAATAAACAAATTGTCTGTCCATCAATCTTAGAAGTCTTTATGTCATAAAAATCCTCCATGCTCGCTCTCCTTCCTCTGAAGCTAGAATAACCACAACTCAACCTTCCATCTTCACTGCCAAGCACAAAAGGAATTTAAGTACGGAAGAAACTTAAGGAAAGGCATACTGCACTGAAGTACGAGCCTCAGGAAAAGAGAAATGAAGTATATACGTGAGAAAGATAGTTCAGTATGCGTCTAACATGAGCATGCCATTAAATAACTCACAACTCATAGGTGAGTGAACAACATGTGTAAGACAAACAAAAAAAATCTGTTTAAAATCAATCACCTCTTCCATCCTCCGCTAGCATAATCAGTATCATCATCCTTCTCAGGATTAACATCCACAACTGGTTCTTGTTTAGATGTTGAACCAGTATCCACCATCATATTTTTCCTTATTCTATATAGGCAAGCCCGGAGAAAATTGCTTATGTCTCTAGTTGAAATCAAACTTCGAACAGACTGTCTTCTCAGTGCATATGTTACAGCATGTGAAGGTTGACAAATCCCAAGATGTGTTGCTCGAACAATTACTGACCCCAAGGAACTAGTGTATACCATTTAACTCAACTACAGCAGCTCAAGTTCACGCCATGACCGGAGAATATATGAGTCTTCCACCACAGAAAACATATTTTCAATTAATAAGATGTAAGTAAATGGGAACTAAAAGCAGTAGCATATTCGTTAAAAAATGCACTCCATTTCATGCAATAAGATAGAAGTCATATCATTTTTCCCATATGGTTTTTGCAGTGAGATCAATTATCTATCAAAATAGTAGCACTGGCAGTCACATTTGAATTAAAGATAAAGGCCACACCCTTGGGACGCTGTGAGATCATTTATCTCTTTGAAAATAAAGGCATTTTTTGCCCCAAAGAGGATAAGCAGAAAAAATGAAAGTTGAAGAGAAACATGGATCGGATCCTGAACTCAAAACAGTCAATTCCTGAATCCTTAATACTGCTTTATACATAACCCGGAAAAGCAGATCTAAACCCATTATTATCGAATCAAAATCCAAAACGAAACCATCTGAAAATTGCAGATCGATCGACGTAACATGCAGGCCAAGGTGAGCAGTAATGGGACCGAAAAAAAAAGAAGGCAAACAGATCAGATCGCAGAATATCCGAATCCGATTAGAGAATCAGCTCCAATTTTCATCAAAAAAAAAAAATAAGACGCTAAAAGAACTATAATAAAAAAGCAATGAAAAGCTCATTAAACTAACTTAGGGTTTGCTAGGAGCTCTGAAACCCTAGGCATGGAATACGAAAGATGAAATGCGTGTCTCGCTGCAAAAGCGGAGAGATAGAGAGAGAGAGAGAGAGACACTCACGTCGGAGAGAGAGAGAGTCAGAGAGACGTCTGCGGAATGGGGGATGGAGCGTCCTTGCTTGGTAGTGTGTAGTGACAGAGCGAAGAGAGAGGGATGAAACGTGGCAGTGATCATGCAACTGCTGCTCCACTGCACCTTCCTTCCTTCCTAACAAACAGTCCCCAGCTCCATGGCCCCCACACCTATATACAGTAGTATTCTAGAATTTCTACTTTGACCAAGGTACACACTCATTGATTCCATTGTGACCACAAACGCCTATGAAAAGAAGATGAATAACACCATATCCTCATGGTCTCACCACTCTCACCTCTAGGAATAGACTTGTTTGGCCTACATTTATCAATTACTTATTCCGTCCTAAAATGTTTTATATCGTATACAAAATGGAGCAAACTATCAAGTTTTTCAATTCACTTTAGTTAAAAATTCATATAGAAATTAAAAATAAACTTGCGTATTTATAAACTACGTCAAAAGTTCTACAAAATAAGATGTGACAAGAATATTTTTTATCAAATAATCAATCAAAATGCACAAATAAATAACAGATTTTGTAACTTTTGAATAGCGAAGAGCGTAGTTTTTTTTAACGTAGAGAGTGTCTTAGGAGTATAGGTTGGACTTAATTTTTATTATCCTACTTGAATTAAGACTTGTTATTTATTTAAAATAAAAAGTTAGGTATAATATTAATCGTTCTGACTTATTTGATATTCATAGTTTTTAAATAAATAATACTCTATGTTTAAAATTTTTCATAATTCAGGATTCCATGTCGTATAAAAAAATAAAAAAAGGATGAGGACTGCCATGCCGAAGCCTCTCCATGCGTTGAGAAATTGAGAAGCCACACGAGGCACCAAGCCAAAAGTAAGAAAATTTGCTGAGGTGGCGTGGCGTGGCAGCCCTCCACTCACTGCTGTTTTTGCTCTTAAATGATGTCTACCTATAAGCAATATGTCAATATCCATTACCATGGATCAATGACATTCAATTAATAAATAACCTTATCTCAGATTCTCAAGCTCAACGCTCACTAGTCGTCACTAATCTATTCTGTTCTTTGCTAATACTTCACTTTCGTCCTTCATGCAACAGAAAAGTACTTGAATGTGCCACTTTTTTCCCGCATAAAAAAGAATGCACAATTTTTTGTTGGTGAACTAAGCAATGCTCAAACGTAACAAGTACTTTTACTGAGAAGCTCGGTGTTAGAAGATATCAAGTAACCAAAAATTCATTCAAAAAAAGAGTAACCAAAAATAGTTATTTTGACAACAACAATGTTAATACAAGTCCAAGAAATGTAGTGATGAATTGTACAATAACTTTAAGGAGACCAGTGTTAGTTCGGGTCGAGTAACCAATACGTGACAAAATCAGTATGCCCCAGGGACTAATGTTAGTTAATACGAAACAAGTTAATTGTTGCATTGAAAATCGATGTTAGTCCAACTAACTGATGCAGGTAGTTGGGTTTCTTAGGATCTAATCTTAGAGTGTCTCACCTATGGTGATTATATGAATAGGGCGTCCCTCACAAGAGTTACACCTTTTAGTAGTGCGTAAGACTTGGCGTCTATTGAAAAAAAGTTAGACTTGGCGTCCCTCGATTATTGTCTTCTTTTCCCATGTGCCAAGCCTCTTTGGGGTCTAATGAAATAAGTATTCACAAATGGCACCACTCTAATATTTCCCCCCTGAGCTCATGAAATATTATAGTTAAATCAACACTTAGACATGACAAATGACAATCCAAACAACACATCAAATATTATCAAGTCATTGCAGCAAATCTATGCTGCTTATTTTTCTAAAGTGTCATAATAAGCGTTCCAAATCATGGAAAGAGATTGGTCAGCAAAGAATCAAATTACTTCATTTGTACCCCGGGGACATCTCGCAGACAGCTCACCTCTCGCTTCAAGAAAGCCGGCAAGGCAAATGCCGCTCTGTGAACCTGTCGATCCCAACATAAATGGACTATTAGATTGATACCAATTGGAGAAATGGGAAATATTTACCATTTCTGCTGTATTTATGAAATCATTAAATAATTGCATACAACCATATAACACCTTAGAGTCTGTTCTTTAGGACGGGAAAAAAAGAATTAGATGTTGGAAAAAATCTGGAAAAACTGCAAGGAATGGGAAGAAAATTAAAAAAAAAGGAAGAAACTGAAAGTTAAGAGTTTAAGTCCTAAAAAACAGGCTCTAAGTAACACATAGAAGGTTTTATTTTTTCCCCAAATAGAAACTTTTCTAGCTTTCAACAAAAATAGCATACATACCTCAGAATTGTAAAACCTTAGTTGGCGGCGATATTGGAGGGCTCCCTCAAGCTTCTCAATGGGATTTATTGGGTTCAAAAAATCAACAGGTGGGCCTTCAGTTGAGCATAACAAGAACCCGATAACACCACTGCACACAATATGCATGATTATCTATCCTTGACAACTAAAAATCAAGTTCCTCTCATATTTAAAAATAAAAATAAAGGTACTAAGGCTGCATTCTGTTTGCCTCATCTCATTTTTTGAAGATCTGGTCTGATCTAATCTGAGTAGATCTGATCTGATTGGTCTGGTTTGATTGTATTTATATTTAAGAATAAAGTAATACGTTGAAAAAATAAGTCGAACGGAACGAAACCTAAGTCACTTGACTGGTTTTGGGAACTATTACCTTGGATACGTAGGGACGCTGGTCCATGCATACCGGACAGAGCCCTTGAATGTTTCGCGGCAAATTGAAATTACATCCTGAATCAAATGTGTGTGAAGCCACATGCTCTCTGCCATGTTGCAAAGAACACCACCGGGTCTTAATGCCCTAGCTAATGTCTCAAAGAATGGTTTCTCTACCAGTTCTTGCGCAGGACCTATTATGTCAGAATAAACAGAGTTTAGTTTAGGGTATGATATGATTAGTTTAGGAGAATATCAGTCCTACATAAACAAAAACGTGCATTTGCAGAATATTAACACTCAATTTTGGTGATAGAATTGTGCCGAGTTTCTGAACTCATTATCAATAGCCAAGAACATTTCCTTCAAATGTAGGTCTTAGGGAATAGTTGACGAGAAAAAAATAAATTTAAATAAAAGAAGTTATACAATGTCAGCCAAATTCAATTAGAGATGAACCATAAAAATACTATAGCCAAGAACATTTCCTCACATACAGGAAATGGTTAGCAAGAAAAGGTTGAAGTGAGATAAAAAAAGTCTTAGGATGTCGAGGAAATTAGCTTATAGATACACGGATGAGTATATCAAACACTAATAATCAGCTCTCATATTTCATATTTTATTTTCTTATTTGGGGTGAGGGGTACATCTGACACAAGGGGAGACTAAACCAATGACCTACCTGGAAATTACAGGCTAATGGTAACTGCCCTAGACTTCAAGGTTTTAATTCTTGTTCAAATAGTATAACATAACATACACAATAAGTTGTACGAGAATGCATCCAATAAATTAAATATGTGCGATAATTCTTAATTAATGTTAAGATGAATGAACATCATCATGCAGTTTAGTTTTTTTTTTAAATTTGTATCATCCCTTAAGCCACGACTGCCACGAGCTTCACTTTTGAGTTGTATACTAAAAAATTCCCATAATGAAAACAAACAAAAAAAACCTTTTACATATTCAATGCAAATAACTGTTTTGAAACCTCATTAATGTCGAACATGAGAAGAAAAAACAATATGTCCAGATGAACACATTGATAACAACAACGGAAACAATAACAACAAAGCCTTATGCCAAGTAACTTGGAAAAATAAAAGGTAATGCCGGATTTTAGAGCAGTAAATAAATCTAAGCTAATGAGGACATACCAACAGGATCCGATGAATCTACTATAATCGCGTCATACTTGCCTTCAGGGGTTTGCTTTAAAAATTCCACAGCTGTTAAAATGAAGACAATTATCAACACAATATCCAGATTTACATTTGACAATACATTTAGGCATGTAATTTAAGTATTTAAGTTTTGCATATAAAGTTATAATCTTTCTGATGATCTGTCTTTTAAGTTTTAACACTTACAAGTTACAACTGACAGAGACTTGGGCAGTTAGTGGTTAACCTTCACAAGACTGCTTCTGTAGTTTTATAAGGAGTTGTATGTTACAACGAGAGAGAGAGAGAGAGAGAGAGATTGTCATTGAAATTATACAAAAACAACAACCCAGTTGTAACATACAACCCCTTATAAATCTGCAGAGGAAACCAACAGTTGTCTCTCTACAGAGTATTTCATACCAAAAGGAAGAATATTGAACTTCTATATTGAGTATAAAAATTTCATAGAAGTTATTTGACTAACCATCACCAACATGAAGTTTCACTCTGGGGTCCTCAAAGCCTATAGCTAACTCTGGAAAGAATTTTTTGCTGACCTGAAACAGAAGAATTTCAAGAGTATATCAAAATAACTGGCAGGAAACAAAAAAAGACATGACACGTGGAGACTATCCTTGTGACTCACATCTATAACCATTCTGTCTATCTCACAAATGTCGATATGCTCCACTGAACAATGACGGGAAATTTCCCTAAGGACTCCCCCATCACCACCACCAACAACAAGAACCTGCATTTACAACCAATATTGATCCATAAATGCAATTTAGGACAGATTATGACAGTGGATAGAAACATTCATACATCAAGATTTAGAACTGCATTATGCCAAGTAGTATATAAGAGCTAAAGAATAAATCTAGATAGTTATTCCATACATTTTTTGGGGATTTGATTGAACAGAGGGGCAGATGTGTAATCATCTCCTGATATGCACATTCATCTTTGTCAGTCAGCTGAACAATGCCGTCTAGAACAAGCACTTTCCCATATGAAGAAGACTGCAAGACAATACATCATATTATACATTCAGTTCAACCCCTTCCCCCAAACATGCAATGAATATCCACAGGTTTCAATTCAGTTATATAGAAAAAAGATCCTGACCTCGAACACAAGAACCTCCTGGTATTCTGATTTCTCCTTGAATAGAATACTCTCAACTTTGATGGAATGCACTTCTCCTAAAAGAAAGCATATACGTAAGCAATTATGTAGCATGTCTAATATAAAATAGGTATAAATAGATTAAAAAAAAGAACGGATATAAGCTTTTGTCTTATGTGATTGCCCGAACTTTATTAATTAATTCCTCTTCAAAATGAATGACCTACTTGTGTATCAACTATCAAGGCAATGAAGAAGCTACTTATAATTTATTTTTGTAACAAGTTTAGATATTAGAAATCTACTTGAGACGTACCATTCACCACACAACATAAGTCAAATAATACTTCTTATTAAAAGTTAAAGACAAAATAAGCAATGAAAGAAGAGTTTGTTTGACCAATATATAGTAAATACTACATATAGCATACAAGATGAGACATAGTGTGTAATAGATTGTAGTTGAGAAGGAAGTCATCCTTCAACAGTCAAGCCCACAATCAATTACTGTTAAACTCCTATAGTCCTATATATGAGAAGAAAACTTTTCTGATCCAACATTAGCCCGTAAAATGTGGCGGCAAATGTTGGATGGTGAACACAAAGAGAAAATGTCCAAATGAGGTCCATGATAAATTGATATTACAACTTCTATGTTTCCTAATAAAGAGAATTCATGATGAAATTATAAAAGGTAGCTTGAACATTTCAAGCACATATTTTATATATTGTGGGATTTATTTTGACGAGAAACAGGTAAACTAGATGCTCAAAGTTAATACATTGTGGGATTGCACAATGACTTAATGTGATAGTGATTTATACAAGCTAAATCTTCCAATCAAGAATTTGGCCAGATAAAAAATTCAATAGTGTTTTTTTGCTCTTCACATTCCTAACATGAAAAGTCCATCTTTAGCAAACCAAATAGCACATATTAAATTACTTAAGATGGTTTAGGTCCCGTTTGGCATTAGCGTTAGAGATTAGCGTTAACGTTTTGAAAAGGCTATTCGACGCTAGCCTTTAGCGTTAGTGTTTTCAAAATTAATCTACACCATTAAAATTTTATCCAAACGGAAAACGCTAACGCTAATCGAAAACGCCATTCCCAAACAAGGCCTTAAGCATTTCCATCGTAGACTTATGGATGCTCCAGTAGAGAGATTGAGAACCAATTACATTTAGGAGATATGCTATATATTTCTGTATTCAACAGAATTGAATTGTTACCCAAAATCCATGTAGAAAGCATAGTAATGTAGAGTATAACTTCCAAAATTAAAAGTGAATTCATATGCTTAATTCACATATACTGCAGATACGTTGGGAAACCATGCATTATCAGTACGACTCCTAATATGAAGCCCAAGTCCCACAACCCAAACATCAATAAGATCACAGTCACAATAAGACCATTTTATTGTACTATATGATAGTTAAAAAGAACATCGAACTTCTAAATATGCAAACCCCAAAGTTTCATGGAATGAAGTTGAGGAATTTAAAACTTCTGGTACAAAGATACATATATATATATAGATTCGAACTTCAATTAAAGATGAAAGCTGCGGAGTAATCTGTGTAAAGAGATAAGAATGAAAGGAAATACCTGGCCACATCGGATTGTTATAATACAACACCTTGGCATCTTCATCTGAAGGGCAAGGCAGACATCAGAAGAAGCAATATACGTAGCAATTTTCAAAAAAGTAAAACCCAATTAATCTCTGAACATATAACACAAAATGAATAGGTGCATTTTCTTTACCAGTTGGTGAGCGACGTTCAGAGAACCATCCAGAACAAACGGTCGAGTGAGTTATAGCTTCAGGTTCTGCATCACAGGCCCTAGCCTTCAAGCAACAAGATGGGAGAACAGCCGTGGCTGATCCAATGGAATTATTCTCCTTCCCATCCATAATCTTCTGGCATCCCAAACCTCTTCCTGCGTCGCCCTCCATATATTATCCTTTTCTTATCCAGCTCCAGTCTCCAACAATCAAAGTATTATCTAAAACAAGATCACAATACAAGAATAATTCTCAAATTCTGCAACAGAATTGATTCCGATATAACCCTCAAGCATTCAAGCTTTTGGTGCAAAAAAAACAATTCAGCACTTTGCACATGCCAAATAATGTAAAAGCTTTCAAAATTGAGAGTAAACGTTCATAAAAAAGAGGTAAATGTTCATGTACCAGCTCAAGCAATCTATGTTTACCAATACAACGTGAAGAATACCAATAACATGCATAAATTGATATAATAAAGCAAGAAAAGAGAAAAAAGATGGGAGACCTGGACCCAACCTTTTTTTAGTCACAATCAATAGGTAGATATTGCAGGCTATAGCTTTCACATACCAAACTAAAATCAACTTTTTTTACTCGAATAAAAATAAAATATAAGGAATAAAGTGTCATGCATGACAAATTCACATTATCAAGAACTAAACTTTTTTTTCAGAATATTGCAGACTATAGCTTTCACATACCAAACTAAAATAAACTTTCTTTACTGGAATAAAAATAAAGAATAAAGTGCCATGTATGGCAAATTCACATTATAAAGGGAACAATAAAACACCAATTTTCCTAAATTTCACAAAAAAATTGGGTGTGGAGACTAAGTACCAAAACAAATACAAAAAAAAAAATCTTTTTCAAAGCTTACTGTAATTTTTAAAGCTTAAACAGTGAAAAGATTTTTCCCTTATGACTCATAGCGGCAAAAAGAAACCGTGTTCATGAGAACATAACACAAAAAAGTAGTGCTTCCATCCCAAAATGGAGTTCTCACTTTGGTACTTTTTATTGTCCCACAAAGTTCATTCCTTTCTGGCAAAAAAACAGTTTTGACTCTAGGTCCGTTTGGTATACGGAATTGACGGAATTGGAATTGAATTGGAATTGAAATTCCATGCAATTCAATTCCATAGAATTGAATTTTGTCAATTCTAATTCATTTTTTGCAATATCAATTCCAAATCCACATACTTTTTGTGTTACCAAACACCGAAATTAGAATTGAGGTCCTCAATTCCAATTCCATAGTTTGAATTCCATATACCAAACGGAGCCTAAGAAAAAGTGATTCCCCAGTCCCCACTTCAAACAAAACTTGTTCCTTCAAACAAGTACGGAGTACCAAAAAATTTGAGCCAAAATCTTACTGAAATTATTATTGTTCTTAATTTATTCGATAAGTGTCACAATATAATTTTTTTGTCACAATACTTTGACCACAAATTAAATCCAGTTTTAAATAATTAAACATTATAAAAATCTGATATATCAAAATATAATTTAAAATGAACCAAATTTTACTAAATTTACATTATACTCCGTAATCGAATATATCCTTTTTCACAATTTAGAAAATTTATAAACTACTCGTATGTGAATCCAAAGTGTTGAAGCATCTGCGTGTTAATAATTAATTAATTTATATTCCCAAATAGTGGAACACAAAAGGTAAAATAAATCGGAGGAAAAGAATCGATACGAAGGAACCAAAAGGCGTGCAAAATAAAACACACATAAAGTGGATATCTACTAGAAGAAATTTCAAAAAAAAAAAGAGAGAGAGAAAGAATATTGCCTTGCCTTTGCCCGGCGTTAATGGCGGAGAAGGAATTGATCGAGCGTATAGAATTCGTATTTGAATCAGTAGCAATGCAATGAGTACCACAACGGGCAACTCTTCTTTTATGTCTTCTTCATCCCTGCCTCCAGGCACGGAGCTCTGTTTTTTAAAAGTGCAAAAATCGCTAGATTAACGCAGGCGAACAATATTTTTATAGTCTAATAGGCTGTTTTCCTTTTTAGAGATTTTTTAGGTGTTTCGAAAAGGTATTTGATAGATTTTCTCACTTATTAAGATTGTTTTTTTAAACCTAAATCTTGAGTTTCTTTTTTTAAAGTGGTAGTTTCCGAGATTATTTTCTGTATTAGCTAAATAATCTTTTTGTTTCCAACAATGGTACCTTATTCATTCCAATTTTTTTGTGTTTGCTAGATTCGTACTCACACGATAAAAAATTGTTTCAGAATGTGAAAAGTAATAAATTCATTGAAAAAAAGATTGAATTAGACGGAAGAACTAAATATAAGTCGCAACTATGTAATTAAGTATTTGAGTTTTGGTACAAAAAATTAAAGAAAATATACTCACTCTTATAGAAAATTTATAATTAGTCTAAAACATGACAATTATAATAAAATAATCATTCCAAAAAATTATCCTTTTTTAAGGTTTATTCCAAAATGATTTTTTAATTCTTTTAAATAAAACATTAAGTCTTATTCATACCAAATAAAAAACCTTTTATATATTAATTTGAGAGATTGATGTCTAAAAAATTGACATGTGGTACTTTTAAAAGTTTTAGTTTTTGACACATATGTGCACAGGCGTCTCTCGCTTAGGCTTAGGTTATTGACTTCTTCACACTATCCCGACTTTGTCAGACGAGACTTAGGCTCTGTTCCGTACGCCTGATCTGATTGAATCTAATCTGAATTTTTAAGTTCTGATCTGATCTGATTGGGTCTGATCTGATCTGATTGGATCTGATCTGATCTGATTAGATCTGATCTGATTGGATCTGATCTGGTCTGATTAGATCTGATCTGATCTAATTGGGTCTGATCTAATCTGATTGGGTCTGATCTGGTCTGATTAAATCTGATCTGATCTGATTGGATCTGATCTGATCTGATTAGATCTGATTTTTTCTAATTAGATCCGATGTAAATGAATTTAAATTTGATTTAAATTAAACTTAAAATTATTACAAAATTTAATAGTTTTAAAGTAATTACAATTCATATATACATAAAAAAAGTAAAATAAGAAAATCAACTAATCATTAATATGTTTAAACTTTTTTTAAAAATATTAAACATCTTTTCAATATCACAACTTTTTTAATTTTTGTGAAAACTAAATAATCGATATTAAAATAAACAAATATTACTCCCTCCGTCCCAGAGTATTTGTCCACTTTCATTTTTATACATCATCCAATGCACTTCTTTAATCCATTTTATCTTGTAATTTGTATATTAAAAAACTATAGAAATTATATATTAATAATCTACTCCCTCCGTTTCTCAAAACGGTTCCTCTTTTGACTTTGGGGAAAAATAAGGAAGTGTTAAATTGTAGTTGACTTTCCAATTTTGCCCTTGATGTGATGGGTAAAAGTAAGATGTGATAGGTAAAAGTAAGATATGATAGTGTTGTTGTAAGTGAAAAAGTATGATGTGATAGGTAGGGTATGAAAAAGTAGGGGTAAAAGTGGTTTTTTAATAGAAAAGGGAAGTGTTTTAAGAAAAATAAAAAAAAAAAAGAAAGAGGAAGGGTTTTAAGAAACGGAGGGAGTATATGTTAAGACAAATCAAACAAGATCACACATGACTATATTTAGGCTTACACATTGAGAAAATTTGATGAGTCAAAGTGCTTAGATAAACAGTTCCAAAAGTTAAAAGTGGACAAAAACTTGGGGACGGAGGGAGTAGAAAATATTGATGCTATTCTACAAAATTATCACATTCTATATACATATTACATAATAATATATTTCATGTTACAAATTAAAGATCATATACAATTTTAAACACTAATATCATTTTCACTTCTATCAATTTTGTCATAAACTCACCCTTGAGTATATTATACCATCTTAAAGTTTAAAAGTAAGTCTTTTTAAGTATAAAATATTAATAGTTTTGAAAACTAAGTTTTGTATAATTATTTTATAAACAAGTATTTTAAAATAACTCTTTTTAAAGTATGAAAAATAAAACTTTTTAAGCTTTAACATTGCTTCCATGCATTATTTCTATCCTACAAGCTAAGCAATTATATAAAATAATGATTTGTAGTTGAAATATATTAATAATAATAATAATAATAATATTATTATTATTATAACAATAATATTTAAAATTATAATATTAATTAAGATTTAGGGGTGTGTAGTTTTAATTAAAGTAATGTGATTTAATCAAATAATACTCCGTAGTAATTGTTATTTAATCCTTGAAAAATATAAATATTATCTTTTATATTTTTTCTTGATTTGATATTATTGGATTTGATCTGGTCTGATCTGATCTGATTGGATCTGGTTTGATCTGATTAGATCTGATCTGATCTTATTGGATCTGATCTGATTTGATTGGATCTGATCTGATCTGATTGGATCTGATCTGATCTGATTGTGTCTGATCTGATCTGATTGTGTCTGATCTGATCTGATTGGATCTGATCTGGTCTGATTAGGTCTGGTCTGGCCTGATCTGATTTGATTTTAATAAGAATAAGTAATAAGTAGAAAAAATAAGTCCTACGGAACGGACCCTTATTCACGAGACCTGTTGATTCTTGGCCAAAACTATGCAGTTCTTTTTGTGTTTATTCTTCGCCAAAGGAAAGATCACTGAAGGAAAGTCTCAATTCAAGATTGCGAGAATTGATCCCTAATTGCACTTCGATTTTTTTAATGTATCAAGAATTAAGTTTGCTTCCAAAATTCATATGCAATTGTTAGGCTCTGTTCCGTACGCCTGATCTGATTGAATCTGATCTGAATTTTTTTAAGTTCTGATCTGATCTGATCTGATTGGATTTGATCTGATCTGATTAAATCTGATCTGATTAGATCTGATCTGATCTGATTGGATCTGATCTGATTGGGTCTGATCTGATCTGATTGGGTCTGATCTGATCTGATTGAATCTGATCTGATCTGATCTGACTAGATCTGGTGTAAATGAATTTAAATTTGATTTAAATTAAACTTAAAATTATTACAAAATTTAATAGTTTTAAAGTATTACAATTCATATATACATAAAAAAGTAAAATAAAAAATCGGCTAATCATTAATATGTTTAAACTTTTTTTAAAATATTAAACATCTTTTCAATATCACAACTTTTTTAATTTTTGTGAAACTAAATAATCGGTATTAAAATAAACAAATATTAGAAAATATTGATGCTATTCTACAAAAATATCACATTGTATATACATATTACATAATACTCCGTAATATATTTAATGTTACAAATTAAAGATCATATAAAATTTTAAACACTAATATCGCTTTCACCTCTATCAATTTTGTCATAAATTCACCCTTGTATATATTATACCATCTTAAAGTTTAAAAGTAAGTCTTTTTAGGTATAAAATATTTATAGTTTTGAAAACTAAGTTTTGTATAATTATTTTATAAACAAGTATTTTAAAATAAATCTTTGTAAAGTATGAAAAATAAAACTTTTAGCTTTAACATTGCTTCCATGCATCATTTCTATCCTACAAGCTAAACAATTATTTAAAATAATGGTTTGTAGTTGAAATATAATTATAATAATAATATAAAAACAATAATATTTAAAATTATAACATTAATTAAGATTTAGGTGTGTGTAGTTTTAAATAAAGTAATGTGATTTAATCAAATAATAGTAATTATTATTTAATCGTTGAAAAAAATAAATATTATCTTTTATATTTTTTCTTGATTTGATATTATTGGATTTGATCTGGTCTGATCTGATTGGATCTGGTCTGATCTGATTGGATTTGATCTGATCTGATCTGATCTGATTGGATCTGATCTGATCTGATTGAATCTGATCTGATCTGATTGGATCTGATCTGATCTGATCTGATTTTAATAAGAATAAGTAATAAGTAGAAAAAATAAGTCCTACGGAACGGACCCTTATTCAATTGGTAACTTCATGAATTTTGATTATGTCCCTGATTGTGATCGGAAGGACGTAGAGACCACCCTGACTAAAAGTGGCAGCCATGGCCAACCTCAGATGGGCTCGGCCAGCAAGTATGAATGACATTCATATAATCAGCTTGCAATTTTCTTTCTTTTGTTTTAATTAGATCTTTTTTATCCTTCTGTGCTTTATTTGTTTTGTGTTAATATGTCTTTCGATTTCTGAAACTTTTATGATATTTCATAGAAGCGTTGTTCATTTGGATAATTTACGTTATTAGTGGTGAAAAATATTGACATGAAATCATGTGATTTTAGAAATAACGATGCCGAATATTCTTTATATTCAAGCAGTATCGAGGTTATTGGATTTTCTTCTATAGATCTATCTATTTATTTCCTGAAATATATAAATTTATACGTAATATCTTGATGCGTTATATCATGACCTAGATGGGTCTCGTTTTTTGTTTATTTCATTTTAGTTTTAATAACACACTAAGATTTTAAAAATTAACTACTTCCTTAGTTGTTAATTTTTAAAATTTTTAATAAGCATTAAATGAACCAACTTGGGTATGTTTATCAATAGGTCAACTAACGATTTTAACCGTTAATTAATAGACATATGTTCTCTTAAATGAGATAAATATTTTGATAATTTATTCGCCAAAAATGGTAGAAGGTAAATGAAAAATTAATTCTCAAAGTTAACCCATTAATAAAAGAATATGGTAAGGATTGCAATTTTGTAATTTTATTGAACCAATCTTCTATTATTATTATTTACGTGTTTTTTAAATTACTCCATTTTACGGAGTTAACAGGCCATTAATCTCCAATTATTCGGGACAAATTTTAAACGAAGCGTAGCGTAACGGACGTATTAGTGGCTACTTAATCACCATTAACACATCATTAGTATGCCATTAATGTCATGGTATAATACCAAGCATTAAGTGTGCATATGTTACAACTTTTAATTCCTAGTTATAAAAATCAAGGGGTTCTACGTGAGAGGAAATAAAGAAGAGAAAAGGAAAAAAATCCTTCTTCATATTTTTAAAGAGAGAGCTCTTGATTTTTCAATCAAATTTCCGACGATTCCCTTCAAGGTTTTTTGGCCGCCAACATTTCTACGTTATTCTTGTTAGTTAGTATGTGGTTGGTCTATACAATCACCACACACGATAACGCTTTAATCTTGGAAGGAGAGTGCCCACATTTTTTTTCCGGTACGGTAGGCGGACACTACTACCTTAAGGACAGCTCCGGCGTCTCCGCTGTCCTTCATGGTGTTTGGTTTTGCAGATACAGTTCATAATGATTTCACTGCATTTTGCCCCATCCAAGTCGTAGATCTTCCATGGTGTTCTGGTTCTAGCCATAATGACCTCGCCACTGCTCCAGTGACCTCGCTACCTCTCATAGTGGCTTCATCCCTGACTTGATTCTGCCCGTGCATAATGTCCTTACAATCCAGTGCAAAATGTCTACGTCTAGCAAGGACGTTTTAAGATCCAGAAAGTCATTATTTTCTGTTTTTTGTCATATTTTGAGTAAAATATAAATTCAGAATATATTCAATCTATTCTGGAGCCGTTCATCTTCCCCGTCCATTGTAATTCGTACGTAATTTGTAACAATCTTAAGGTAGTAGAGCCAAATGTGTGCACGATGGCGGGTATGGACGGCTTTGGTTTAGACGCTCACACCAGAAACAGGACTATGGGGTTCGCTCTGGTCGCTTCTTTTGTTGGATTGACCGCGGCTACGGCCACAACTGTCACCCCACATGCCTACAACCATCCCGGTCAATTCCCTTGAACCGCACGCGGCTTCTACCATATCGGTCATTCTCTCTTTTGGACCGAACGCGTGTACCTTCGTACCTGCACCGGTCGGGCATCTTACTGTCACGGTGCTTATGAATTCTGTCAAAGAACAAACAAACTTCTCAGGTGTCAGTTTTAAATTATGGCAGCAAAAGATGGTGTTTTGGCTGACCATCCACAACCTTGAGAGGTATTTGAGGGACGATCCCCCTATTCAAGGGGGGGGGGAATGCGGATGAGCCAAAAATTCAAGCTAGGGAGGCATGGAATGCGAATAGCTATCTATGCCTTAACCTCATCTTAAATTGTCTGAGCAATGCCTTGTATGCGGTTTACTGCAAGGTAGCATCCGCAAAGGAGTTATGGACTACACTGTCCAATAAATACCAGGTTGAGGACACCGGTGCGAAGAAGTTTGTTATCGGTAAGGTTCTGGATTTTAAGATAGTGGATTCCGAACTTGTGGTCAGTAAAGCTGAAGAACTGATCCTCAATTTTAATGAGTGCACTAACAAGGGAATGAGATTTAGTTAAACATTCCAAGTTATGGAAACTATTCACGTACTCCCTCTATCTTGAAATGTGTTCCGAAGCTACTTTTCGCTACATTTAGCTCAAACGGAAAGAGATGTGTCTTGGGAAATTAGTTCTTTGCCTCAATGTCTAATAAGATAGTTTGAACAATGAGGGAAAAGAGCTACTTCTAAGGTCAATATAGGGAATTATTCTTAAAAAGATAATTCTCCTAATAACCTAAGACTATAAAGGACAATAAATTATTAGGCCCTAGAGGAAGAGTGGGCTCTTAAAATGGACACCTTGATCTCCTAGTTTGAGTCTAATGGATTATATGTTAGTAAGTGGGATATACACATAAGTAATGACTATGTGTTGTTGGCCATTATTAAGGCATTGTCCTTATTGATCTTGAGGAACTTATTTGTTGCATGTGTGTGAGTCTTCCAATTTGTCGCATGGCAGATTAGAGCATGTTAATCATGTATCTCTTTGGAGATTAATTAACATGAAATATATCCCTAAGTTTTACACCGACTTGTCCACACTTGTGAGAAGTGTGTTGAATGAAGTCAACACGAAATTTGTTTTAAATGATTTAACGAACTACTCCGCCACGAGATCTAATTCACACAAATTTGTGTGATTTTTGAAAAACACATTAAAGATGTGGTAACAAATATGTTACTCCCTCCGTCCTAATTCTTTCTTCCCACGTTGACTATATGCCATTTTTAAGGAAGTGTAAAATATGCATTGACTTTACCAAAGTGCCCCTAAAGTCTCCCACTTCACCCAACAATGCACAGATCTAAAAACACTCGTACCGATTCTTCTCCTCCAATTTGGACTTGATCAACTGGATCCCATATGGGCACGCATCGATTCTCCTAGAGGTGAAAGTGAACACCTTATCAGCATTGAGATTCCAGTCATTGAGCGCTTTCACAACAAACTCATCCATAGTACCTGCAAGATATCGCCGGAAACAAAGATTCCATTTCCTCAGCTTCTAGTCATCGTCAATGAAGTGTGCCGATAGACAAGCGAAATCGGAGATCTAGGATTTGGGGGGGGGGGGGGGNAAGAGAGACAGAGAGGTTAGATCTAGAGATGAGAGACGGAGGATGGTTGAGGCGTTGGGGAGTATATGATGTAAGGGTATAATAGTCACTTTACACCCTTTTTTTTAAAGTGGAAAGGTAGTTTTAGGACAGGAAAAAAGGGGAAATGGGAAGATAATTTTAGAACGGAGGGAGTATCACTTTCGTTGATGATAGCACGAAATACTGCTAAATTTATTTGCTTATTAGTAAAGACGGGGCGTTGGATACTTTCATTCGGTATAAGAATGAAGTCGAGAATCAACTCAATCGCAGAATAAAAGCGATTAGGAGTGATAGAGGCGGGGAGTATGAGGCTTCATTCGCTAAGTTTTGTGCAAACGTGGAATTGTGCATCAAGTAACTCCACAATACACACCCCAGTCCAACGGTGCGGCGGAAAGGAAAAATCGCACTCTTAAAGATATGATAAATGTGATGTTGGTTAGTTTGGGGCTACCCCAAAATATGAAGGGTGAGGCTATTTTATCTAGAAATTATTTGTTAAATAAAATACCTAGAAAGAAACTCAATAAGACTCCTTACGAGTTGTGGTATAATAGAAAACCTTCATATAAATATCTGAAAGTGTGAGGGTGTCTTGCAAAAGTTCTAGCACCACCACCAGAGAAAATGAATATTGGTCTGAAGACCGATGACAGAATCTTCATTGACTACAGTGGTACACTTATCAATTTTTAGTGTATAAATCTGATAATATGGAAATACTCTACATAAGAACACGCTAATCGAATCAAGGAATGCAACATTCTTCAAAGATTTTTTCCGTTAAAATATAAAGATGAAGCAAGTTCATTCAAACATTCACATGATGAATTATTGAACGATGGTTACTCGGATCAATCTAATACCGGTATAATTGATGAAACCAAAATTGAGATTGAACCAAGACAAAGTAAAAAGACACGGAATGAGAAATCCTTTGGTCCTGATTTTCTAACTTACATGTTAGAATTTGAATCGGGAACTGTATCATTTCTGATAAAGACTGAACCTGATATTCTAACATGTTTATTAGAAAATGAACCACAAACTTATCGTGAAGTAGTGACTTTGTTTGAAGGCCCTCAGTGGAAAGATGCCATTAAAACTGAAGTTGATTCTATGTAGACGACATACTCATAGTAGGTAGCAATGACAAAATGGTCAAGTCTACCAAGGATATGTTGAACTCATGGTTTGACATGAAGAACATGGGTCTAGCTGAAGTACTTCTTCGAATTAAATTTGGGAGAAGTCCTTATGATCTAGCACTGAGCCATCCCATTATATTGACAAAATCTTTTACAAGCTCAACAAGGATGACGTCAGAGTAGCGAAGACGGTGTTGAACGTTAATGCACACGGCCAAACACCAAGGTCTGAGTAACTCTCATATCGAGTATGCGAGAGCTATTATAAGTTTAATGTATCTAATGAGCTGCACTTAATCGGACTTGTTAAAATACAAAAGAGAAAAAAATCTTGAGAGGAGAAGAAATAATAGAAAGGTTAACACTATTGTGGTGATGAGTTGAAGAGCAGAGCACAAGCCAAAAAAGGATGCTGATGAAGTTCAGTACACATGGATTTATAATCTAATGCCAAACATCCTATACATGAGGGTCATTCTTATTCATCCAAACTAAAGAGTGCAGGGCATACTATGACCTATAAGATACCCAATAAAGCATACTATGACCTATAAGATACCCAATAAAGTTCAATAGTCTTTTCCCTTTTTCTAAATAGCCAGCAATTTAGAAAAGTTGTTGTACAAGACTGTAGTTAAAAAAAACAAAAAGGAAGCCAAGCAAGTCCAACATGACTGAGAACTACATACTCTTTGAAAATCAATTTGGTAGGGAATCAATTTTAGCCTTTGAAAATCATAATGTAATGAGTTGCCCTAGCAAATCATGTAATCTATGCAAGTCCCTCCTGCAAAGAAGAACCTTTTATATTGAACCAAACATCCAAAACATGAGGTCCTTTTTGTTCATCCAAACTAAGAGTGGAGGGCATACCATGACCTATAAAAAACCCAAAAAGAAATTTAAATGATAAAAAACCAAAAACGGCTCATATCAACGAATACAAGCTCCTAAACTTCTGGAGCATTATTAGATACTGCCTTACTATAAAATAAGACAATGGATACAAGCATGATAGAGTATACAATAACTGAAAGGGATTGGAAGAAGAAGATGACTCACCACCAAGTTGCATATCGCATTGAAAATATAATCCGAATTCATTGGATCAGATTGATAGGGGCAGTTTGGAGCTCTCCTTATGCTTCAGGTACTCCTCCAAAATGGTAAGCCTAGCTGTTTCAAAGGCAAAGTAACCCAGAGCAGAAAAGAGGGAACTATGAAGTACCCTAGGCCCCATTCCGCGCGTAAGTCCCATCCATCCTTCTTCCTTGAGAATCTGCCTCAAAGTTGCCCAAACACCACTAACCATTGCGGCAGCAACCTTGTTCGCAGCATCCCCTGGAACTTGAGTCATCAATCTAGTCTTCACCACATCCAAAGGAGTTGTCAAAGAGGCAGATATTGCCCCGGCCAATGCCCCACAACACACACTATGGTACGGCTCCAATTTCGTCTTTTTAGTCTTCTTCAACAGGGCAGCCTTCAAGTACTCGAATGAAGAGTAATTAAGCACTCCTGCAGGCAAATTCCTCAACAGTGTAGCGCTGTAACCCGCATAGAGTCCCATCACACCATCGTTCTCCAAAATCCTCAGTAACACCTCCCAGGACCTCCCTTTTGCCCCAGCCTGCATTCTCTGTGTGATCAATTCTTTAGGCACCATTATAGCAGAAGAGATTATATTACCCATTGCACCAGCAGTTGGAGGGATGAGTACATGAGGGTACTCTGGGAATTTTGACAAAACAGATTTCCCAAACTCACAAGTCCCAAAGTAGACAGCAGACGAAAATGTTGACCCAACAATCACGGCTGAAACCCCTCGGTAGAACCCTAGAATTCCCTTGCTCTCAAATGTCTTGACAATGGCATCCATGGTGCCACTGTAAATCTCCGAAGCCCCCTTTGTCTGGAGCTTGGTTTTGATGGTGTCAAGAGGGTGAAGACACACGTAAGTGAAGGCTCCTGCAATGCCCCCAGCCGCAGCACCGATGAGTGCTCTTTCAAGAACAGATAGGTTCTTGAAGAGCGCCTGGACTCCAGGGGAGTCCTTGGAGGCTGGTTTTAGCCATTTCCGAGGAGTGGGTTTTGGGATTTGGGGGGTTTTGACTTGGTCTTGAACAGAAACAGTAGTTGAGGAGAAGCCGAGATGGGCATTTGTGGAGCGGCAGTGGCGGCCACCATTGTTGCTGGGGATGAGGAGCGTGTTGAGATTAGTGAAGAAGGAATTGAAATCGGAGGGAGAGCGGATCTGGTCGTAAAGGAGAAGAAGTGGGGCGTGGCCTCTTGGAGTCTCCTCCATAGCAATCAATACCTTGCTGGGGAACTCGCACTCTACGCCATTAGATAGGGGGAGATTGATTGATTAATCTCTCTCTAAAAACTTTCTAGTTTTCATGTACCCAAAATTTGTACCTCATTTATGCATCAAAAATATGCACCAACATTTTAATGGTTTACAATGGCAAAAGTGTAAGGGGCTGTTTGTTTCAGTCTCTTAATGGTTCAGATGTCTGAATGGTTCAACACTTAATGATTCAGACTGTTTGTTTCAGCCTCTTAATGGTTCAGATGTCTGAATGGTTAAGAGATTTGCCTCTGAATGGTTAAGTATTATACAGAGTCTGAATGGTTAAGACCTCTTATCTGAATTGATCAGACATTTGCCTCTGAATAGTTAAGCAATATACTAGTTCTTAATGGTTCAGATCTCTTACTGGTTCAGCACTTAATGGTTCAGACCTCTTACTGGTTCAGCACTTACCTATTCAAAAGTTGCCAAACAGCCCCTAAGTGCGTTAACAACAATTTACACTGACACAAAGTGTTGGTGCGTTAAGAAAAATTATCATTGCACCAACACAAAATGTTGGTGCATCCCTGCGGTGTACAAAAAATGGTACAAATTTTTGGGGTACAAATAGTTTTATCCTTTCTTGTATGGTCATCAAAAAGAAATTTCCATTCCACTCAAACAAAAAAAATTATTCCTTCTGTTATAATTTAAATGGTTTGTTTTGGTTTACAAGTTTTAACTTAAGCTATTTTGAATACAATCTTTTAGAGAATTAGAGCGAAATAAGAAGTTACATCAAAAGTTCTACGAAACAAGAGATGATATGATTATATTATTTTATCAAATGTGTAACGAAAACAAAAAAGAATGTAAACAAAATTTGGTCCTGTGAATAATAAAAGAACAATTTAAATTGAGACATAGAAAGTATTGGGCTGCGTTCTGTTCGCCTGATCTGATCTAATTTTTAGAAGTTCTGATCTGATTGGATTAGATCTGATCAAATCAGTTCTAGTTGGATCTGATATAAAATTAATTAATATTAAAAATTTTATTATAATTGTTATAATAATAATAATAGAAATATTAATAGTAATTGATGGATACCCCGGACAGGGGGTATCCGGTCTTTGTATAATATTAGTTGAGGCGGTCCAGTCTGTTGGACCAACCTATTAGTTGTATGTTAATTATTTATTTAAGGGCGACCCAGTCTGTTGGGCCGGCCCATTATTCGTATATTTGTTATTTAGGGCGGCCCAGTTTGTTGGGCCGGTCCATTAATCCGAAACCCTAACCCTAGCTTCTCTATTTATACTCCTCTTCTTGGAAGAGGAGAGGAGGGGGGAAAATAGGAGGCTACACCACAACAACACTATTCATCATCTTCCTCACACACCCTTCTCCTTCTTCCCTACCCTTGGGTTTCTTAACCCAACAATGGTGCTCTCGTTGAGAGATCGAACGCATCAAGCGTGCTCTCTCCCATTTTTCAAATGATTTTTCATCCTCCAAACTCGTCATTTCTTTTGACGTTGGAAAACCCAAATTGAGATTTGGAGGATTCATCATTTTCTTAATCTGGAATTTCATCCCAGAAGGTCTGTACCGTCGGCAAGCCAGCATCCGGACTTTCTAAGGTGGAAGTCCGCCGGTTCTAATGGATTCAATTCCTCCTGCCGCGGAAAGCAAAAACTGAAGCCAGATCTGGCCGACTTCTTTCTCTCGCCCCAGGTACGGCGTCGCTCTTCATCCTTCCCAGTCCCAGGGTACCAGGCGAACGCTTCGACAAACCGGCAGGCCGTTCGCATCCTCTTCAAAGACCTCCAAGCGGCGCTCCAATCTGCGATTCCTGGGAGCAGCACTGCGACGACGGGGTCTGGACCAGTGACGTTCGGGATGCGCGAACTGATTACCGCGCGGGGTAGCAGATAGCATATTCAGTTCTCCGCCGGCCCCGTTTGAGTGGTGAACTTAGAGGAAGAAATCAACGCAGGTGTTTCATTTTCCAATTTCGTGGGTGTAGCACTGGGCAGCCACGTGCGGCCACAGTGACCAAATGCAATTCTTCCTTTCGAGGCAGAAATCGACGCGGGGAGAATCCAAATTAAGGCCAGGAGGAGATTGGGTCAGATTACGACCCGACCCGATTCAGGCAGTTCTCCATTTGGAGAGCAGACGAGGCATGGCGAATGCTTCTCCCCAGCAATCAGACGACCTCGCACTGAAGAGCCACCTTTGTTTTTCCTAATCCGAAAAATCAAATAGAGATCTACCCCTTTTTCCTCCTGCTCAAATTGAATCAACCGAACAGAGATTCAGATTGGCATATGAGGTTCACCTCGGATTCGCTTCAGTTCCAATCGCCGTTCGATGTTGAAAAACCTCGGTTCGAGGTTCTGTGCTCCGTTCACAGGTCGGTGGGCTGTCGAGAGGATCTCTCGCCCGAGGGTGACTCTCCGTTAGACCGCCATCAGACTTGGACCGTTGATTGCATCTAAGCTCAGGTTTGTTTGAGGTATTGTTCTGCCCACCACGCTAAAGGCCGGCTCACCTACCGGATTCCCATCTGAGTCAAGCAGTCTGGACGGGAGGAAGCTGCGAGAGCAGGAGCCCTAGAGTCCGGACCAGTGATATTCGGGATGCGTGAACCAGATGCCGTTGGATGAAGCAGATAGTAGATCCAGGTCTCCGCCGGCCGTATCGAAGCAATTGAACCTGATCTTAGCTCCGTCGAACACTTTGTCATCACCGAATTTGCTTGGATTCTCCCCAATCAGACATGCCCACCTTCGAGTCAAGATGCTGGGGGATTCACGTCCGTTAAAGATTTTAGCTTCAAATCTAAATCCAAGCTATTGAGATCCCGGGCCATGGGTATTTGGTGCCGACCATGTCTGACCTTCGTTCCTCTTTTCCATGCCTACAACGGGAATAGTAGCGGTGACCATGTGCCCATGTCCGGTCGTTGTCAATTGCCGAGAGGGTAGGTCTTTTTTACCTTCCCTCAATGAAGAGGATCCAGCTTCACTCCCGCCCCATGTGCCCATGTGCTGTAATCTTGATGGAGAGGTATAAAAAGAAGATAAGGGGAGTGGCACTATGAGAAAAATCCAGAGAAATAGAAGTGTGGCCCCTTTCACACATTACAATTATTGTTTGGTTGGGGGCCAAAAACTTTTTTTTTTGGAACAAGTACGTGGCATATAATGCATTCATTCTCCATCCAAAAATGGTCACCACTCGTCAGTGGGCAGGCATCATTCACCAATCTCGGAGGTTAAACTTTCCACTGGCAACCGAAGTGGCCCAGTCGAGCGGTGCATCACCATGATTGACGTCTCCCGTCCATCTTCTTCGCAACAACTAATATGATTATCATCTTATTTTTCCCGATCCGGAGATCATATGCTTCAAGAGAAAGGTTAGAAAGTGTCATTCTCCCATTATTTTTACACGTTAGTGTGCTCGTATTTCTTAAAGGAAAAGAGAGCCGGATTCAATACTATTCGATGGCCTGTAAGGGAGAGAAATCAGTCTAAGTGGTACCATTATTATGTTTACCTAACACAAAGGGACCAAAATTCAAAGTTGGACAGTTGATAGGGGACTCATGGTCAATTCATGTTTTGTACAATTTTGTTGCATTTCTATTGGAATTTATACAAGGATAAATAGCCAAAAAGGGGATCCATTGATTGGGGTCCGCTGTTTGGGGCAACCTCGGTGAGAGATGCCCGACGTTCACCATCATAGGTTTGGTTTCTTTACCCGGGTTCTGAGAAGACTCTCTATTATCTCCCCCTCCCCTCTTATGCATTTGGGTCAAAATCTCATGTGACTGAGCGCACGGATACAGCCGAGTACGTGACAACTTCAGAGGCCGAGCTTATAATTTCTAGTGGAGCTCGAACCGAGTCCGAACTCAAGATCATGACGGAGTGTGAATTTGCCCGATAATGTTATGAGCTCTAGCTCGGCGGTGGTGATCTTATCCAGCGAGTCTGCTGATGTCGGGTGTACTATGTTCAGCCGGGTGCCTATTCTGATTCCAAATAACTTGAGGGGCTTTGTGAAGTTTGTTCTAGCTTTCCCTTCATACGACAGAATACATGTTCTGATATCCAAGTACGATGATCTTCATCACTTTTGATCTCATCGTGCTGCGACCCACCTTCCCGGTTCAGCTCAAATATGTACCTGCTCATCATCTAAATGGTTCCAACTTAGATTTGTGCCACTTTGTTTCTACAACTTGGGTATTTTGTCAGAAAAAAAAGAGAAAAAGAAAAATAAAAAAATATATATATCGCTTCCACGCGATTTCATGTTCGCTTCTACGCGACTTTATGCAGCTGTGCATCATCGGGCTTCCACGCCATGATATGGCCTCACGCGGTCCTCGTCATTGCGCGAGCAAATCCCTCCGGAGGGTATTGCAAGGTCCTGCTTAGGACAAAAAACTTGCCAGTCCTGCTTAGGACAAATATTAGATCTGCTGAGATCGCACTTTTACGCTACCACGCGTCATCGGCTCCACGCCGCTCTAACAAAAAAAAAGCAACATCAACGAAGGAATTTTTCATATTTTGTCTTTCAGGTACAGAGTGGAAGACCACATGACATTTGCAACTGAACCTGCTTAACACAGCTCATGGAAGGCACATTATTTCACCCTTTTCCAAGGTCGGCCTCGGCCACCTTGCAAGTTTCTTAAGCCCTCGTCTCCCGAGGCATGAAAAAGTCCTCTCTCGAGGTCGGCCTTGACCACCTCACGAGGCATCCCAAAAGCCCTCTCCCGAGGTCGGCCCCATCCACCTCACGAGGCACTCAAGCCCTTGTCTCCCAAGGCAATTAAAAGCCCTCTCCCGAGGTCGGCCCCATCCACCTCACGAGGCACTCAAGCCCTTGTCTCCCAAGGCAACTAAAAGCCCTCTCCCGAGGTTGGCCCTAGCCACCTCACGAGGCACTAGACTCTTTTCCTCGAGGTCGGCCCCATCCACCTCGCAAGGCACTTAAGTCCTCGTTCCCCGAGGCATCCCAAAGTCCTCTCCCGAGGTTGGTCCCATACGAGGCACTTGACTCTTTTCACGAGGTCGGCTCCGGTCACCTCGCAAGCATAAAAGCCCTCATCTCCCGAGGCACCAAAAAGTCCTTCCTCGAGGTTGGCCCCATCCACCTCGCAAGGCACTTAAGTCCTCGTTCCCCGAGGCATCCCAAAGTCCTCTCTCGAGGTCGGTCCTATCCACCTCATGAGGCACTCCATATTTTTCCCGCGGTCGGCCTCAGCCACCTCGCAAAACACCTAAGCCCTCGTCTCCCGAGGCACCAAAAAATCCTTCCCCGAGGTTAGTCCCATTCACCTCACGAGGCACTTAAGCCCTCGTCTCCCGAGGCAACTAAAAGCCCTCTCCTGAGGTCGGCCTCGGCCACCTCACGAGGCACTAAAGTTATCTCCCAGACAATTCCAACTCTTTTCCCGAGGTTGGCCTTGACCACCTCGCAAGGCATATAAGCCCTCGTCTCACGAGGCTTCCAAAGCCCTCTTCCCGAGGCACTCTTCGATGCCGTCCCAAGGCACACCCCTAGCCCACTTTCTAGGGCACAACCTAACTACTCACAGGGTGGGTGATCTGGTCAAGCTTATTGGCCAAGCCCACCAGTTTATTTTTCTTTGTATGAGATTTTTCAGGCAAACTGATATAGGCACAGAAGTCATAACAGAGCGAGGGGACCAAAGACTCCCACCAGAGCCGAGCATGAACACTACTCCCTTTCACCTCGGAATTCTTCCTCGGCTTAGGGAGTGGGGGACTCCGGGTACTCGGCTCGTGATTGTTACACCGCACACCGTGAAAGTTTGGCAGATCAACAACTTGATCTAACATGGCACCGGAGCAGTTCGTGCCGGCATGCACTCTTTGGCAATATGGCGAACAACCCTCGACTCCGGACAACGAGTCCGGGGGACTCGAAGAGCGCCTCTTCTGAGTTCACACAATTTCTTTACTCGAAGACCCCACACCTTTTTTCAATGTTTTTCTTGATTCACTTTGTGGGACGAGATGTACTCTTTTCTTGATCGAGGATTTTTTCCCATCCTCATGGATTTTTTCCTCGGCAAGTTTTTAATGAGGCATCCCCCATGGAGTGAGTCACACATTGACGGAATCGTGGGGAGATCTTTGGAGACGACAATGTACTTTGTTCGAGAGCAAATCATTTAGAGATAATGAGCAGATTGGCGCAAACCTTTCCACTTTTCCGCTCCGGACAGCGAGTCGGCAGTGCACTCCATGCTGATTGGAGCAATTTCTTTTACCTTGCCACTCCGGACAGCGAGTTGGCATTAACTTTCATGCTCATTGCTACGATTTCTTTCACTTTGCCACTCTGGACAGCGAGTTGGCATCTTCTTTCATGCTCATTGCTACAACTTATTTCAGTTTGCCACTCCGGACAGCGAGTTGGCAGTGCACTTCATGCTGATTGCTTCTACTTCTTTCCCATTGTCACTTCGGACAGCGAGTCGACAGAGCACCTCGTATCCATGGGTGCAAATTCTTTCACCTCGCCTTACTTTGGACAGCGAGTTGGCATTACATTTCTGACCTATGGCGTTGTTTGCCTTACTTCACCGTGCTCGGGACAGCGAGTTGGCGGTGCACTCTAGACAGCAAGGAAGACAGTGTCCTTCCGTGGTAGATTTTTGCTCTACTTCCACTTCACCTCGAGTTCCTCTCGGCTCGGAAAGTGGGGGACTCATGATGGATACCCCGGACAGGGGGTATCCGGTCTTTGTATAATATTAGTTGAGGCGGTCCAGTCTGTTGGACCGACCTATTAGTTGTATGTTAATTATTTATTTAAGGGCGACCCAGTCTGTTGGGCCGGCCCATTATTCGTATATTTGTTATTTAGGGCGGCCCAGTCTGTTGGGCCGGCCCATTAATCCGAAACCCTAACCCTAGCTCCTCTATTTATACTCCTCTTCTTGGAAGAGGAGAGGAGAGGGGAAAATAGGAGGCTACACCACAACAATACTATTCATCATCTTCCTCACACACTCTTCTCCTTCTTCCCTACCCTTGGGTTTCTTAACCCAACAGTAATAATAATAATACTAATAGTATTAATAATAATAATAGGAATAATAATAGTAATAATAACTATAATAATAATAGTAATAATTATAATATAAATAATAATAATAATAGGAATAATAATAATAATAACTATAATAATAATAGTGATAATTATAATAGAAATAATAATAATAACAATAGAAATATTGATAATAAAAGCAATAAAAATAATAGAAGTAATAATAATAGTAGTAGTAATAATAATAATAATAACTATAATAATAATAACTAAACAACAACAACAACAACAATATTAATAATAGTAGTAGTAGTAGCAGCAATAATATTAGTAACAATGATAATAATAATAATAGTAGTAGTAATAATAAAATTAGTAGTAGTTGTAATACTAATAATAATAGTAATAATTATAATAACAATAGTAATAGTAATTATAGTCATAATAGTAATAGTACTAGTAGTAATAGTAATAATAATAATAGAAATAATAATAATAATAATAATAGAAATAATGGTAGTAGTAATAATAATTATAGTAATAATAAGAATAGTAATAATAAATATAATAATAATAATAATAATAGTAATAATAATAATAGTAGTAACAATAATAATATTATAAATATTAATAGTAATAATAATTATAATCATAATATTAATAGTAATAGTTATAATAATACTAATAATAATGGTAATAATAGTAATTGTAATAATAATAATAATAATAATAATATTAATTTTGTTTAGATCTGGTTTGATCTGATCTGATCTAATTGGATCTGATCTGATCTAATTTTAATAAGAATAAGTAATAAGTAGAAAAAATAAGTTGAACAGAACTCTGCCTTAGTTCACAATATATCTATCCTTCTGTACAAATTCCTACCATGCAAATTCCCCCGTGAAATTCTTGGTTTGAAAATTGAAGGTGAGAGGGGAGCATTGGACCTCAACCCGGGGACGCTTCCATTCTTCCTCCTCCTGATTAAACCCAGCGCGAAACTTCATGGTTAAGATCATGCCGCAGGATGTTGTGTCCTCTGGGAGAGGCCAGTTTTGCACGGGGAGATTGACGGCGGTGTGGGTGGAGTCATTCCCGGGAGGGAGCGTGGTGGGGCCCACCAAAGGGAACGAAGACGACGAGATGATCTGGAGGAACCCCTCACAGTCAAGGGTCACCTGGGTTGTGTTGCTGTAGAAAATTGTCTTTTCCCTGTTCGGGTTGTGGGCCTTGAGGGTGAAGCTGAAGTCCGCTGTCAAGAGGTTTCCGGCGACGGTGGCTTCTGGAGACGACGCAGCACTCGTGACGGAGTACTGTGGCCTCGGCGTCCTCTTCTTGATCTTCTCAACGTCGAGAATATCTTTAACGACGGCATAAATAATACTCCCTCCGTCCCCCTGTATTTGTCCACTTTCATTTTTACACATCATCCAATGCATTTCTTTAATTCATTTTATTTTGTAATTTGTATATTAAAAAATTATAAAAATTATATATTAATAATCTATATGTTAAGACAAATCAAACAAGATCACACATGACTATATCTAGGCTTACACATTGAGAGAATTTGATGAGTCAAAGTGCTTAGATGAACAATTCCAAAAGTCAAATGTGGACAAATACAGGAGGACGGAGGGAGTAACTCCCAAAACTGCTGCAATAATAAGCCTCATGACTGTGCAGCAACAACAACCTTTGGAGATATGCATCTCGATCAGCTGAGCAAACAATTATGTGGACCACCCCGGGCAAATATATATATATATATGTTGGCGTGAGATATTTGATGAAGGAAATCGAATACTCTTGGGATTTGGTTTAGTATTTGCTTAGTTCTTGTTTTAGTATAAATAGAAATATGGTAGGAATAGAAGTTTACTTATAGTCAAGATACATATATTTTTTTGGAACGAATACAAAAAATCCTTTTCTTTTATATACTTCATCCGTCCCAAAAAGATTGGTACATATTGACTTTTTGGGAAATTAAGGGAGAGATATTTTGGTGTTGGCTTTCCAAAAATACCCTTGATGTGATGGGTAAAAGTAGGATGTGATGGGTAGATTATTAGGAAAAATGTATGATGTGATAGGTAGGGTATGAAAAAGTAAGGGATAAAAATGGTTTTTTAATAGAAATGTAATGGACTTTATGAGACGCGGTTTTTTTGAAACGTGTCGGACTTTTTGAGACGGAGAGAGTAATGAAGTATAAATTTGAGAGTTCAATACTTAAGAACTTGACATGTGGCATATCAAGAAATTGATATGTGTCATCTTAAATACTTGGCATGTGGCATCTTAAAGTGACAATTTAACCAAATTTACACTCTTCAATTATTTTACTTTTTTAATCTTTTCCGAGAATGATAATTACTTATTTTGAACTCATAACTCGAAATTCAAAATTAAAATCTTTTTTTACCTAGAATTTATTATTTTTGATAAATCTTTTACTATAATATTTAAGACTCATGTCTCTAAGATGTTGACATGTGCATTCCTATATGACAAATTTTAAATAACATGGCACAAGAATAAATTACATGACATGCTTTAAATTCTCATTCATCATTTATGATAACCTTTTAAATTTGAAGAGTTTAAAAATTAAAATAATATATTGTATATCAAAAAAATCATGGACTTCTGAACTTAGAGCACGGGCAATGGCAAGTAACGAAATGGAATGCCACACGTTGACGTGGCACATTTCAACCAATAAAAGACAATCCAATCAGCGTGTGGCAAGTGAGTGGAGTGGCATCTCGTGCAGTGGCAACTGTTTTTGTCAATTTTTATGATTTTTTAATGCATTTTAATTATTAAAAATTATTTCATTTATCTTTTTTAAATAGATGTACTCTTTTTTAAAAAAATTATTTCTTCTACAAAAAAAACAAAAAAAATAAAAAAAATACCTGGACTGCCTCGCGCCTTACACGCTTGGCGTGGAGGAAGGCTAAGCCACGCGAGGCAATTTTTCCAATTGAGCTGATGTGGCGCAACGAGCGAGGAAATGCCTCGCCGCTGCGCATGCTCTTACTAAAAATTTTATAAATGAAATAAAAATTAAAGTTTTTCAACAAAATTAAATTATATAAATTATTCATAAAATAGAAACTAATCGTGACTAATCTTCGTCTTTTTTATAAAAATAAAGCAATGATATTAAAATTCTCTTGTGTGAATTATTATCGAAACAAAATTTAAAATAGTTGTAGTGCTTCATGTGGATTGAAAAATAAGTACGAATACACCATTTAATTTGTTTTCAAAATTCATTTAAAAAATGTCTATCATTTCAAAAGGTTGCAAATCCACCACCTCGATTCATACTATTTTTTGTTCATTTTTATGTTAAAAAGGGGGCATTTATGCCTATTTTCCAATCGACATGGGCATTGGTGCGTATTATCATTTTTAAACTTCTTTTTTAAATACTTCTTTATAATGCTTTAAACTTCAAATTGATTTGTATCTAAAATAAAAAATAAAAAATACTTTCTCTATCTAAAGTTAATCATTTTCAAATTTATATTTTCCAAAATAAACAAATTATTTTTTGTATGTTCAAAAAATAAAATAAAAAATATAATAAAGGAAGAAAAAGAAAAATATAAAAATATAAATGAAAAAAGAAAATAATACAAAATTCTCTTATTGAAAAGGAGAAAGGGATCCATAAAGTATACTGATATGATTTATTTGGAACGTCAAAAATTTTATTTTTTGACAAAAAAATTTCATAATGATAAAAATATAATGATTAATATTTATAGAACATTTTCAAACATTTTTTAATTAATATATAAAACTAAAATAAATGTGCTTTAGAAAAATTAATGTTTAGAATTTTCCTCACCTAATTAAAAATAATGTTTCATTAATAAGATGTTCCTTTCGTTCCATAGAGAGTAGGAAATAATGATTATATAATATGATACACATTACTTTTTCAAATTAAACAAAAGTATCATTTAAATAAGACAAGAAAAATAAATAAACTAAATTATTAATAAGAAAAAGTAATTGAAACAAAAGTATAAAAATACAAATGTGGATAAAAAAAAGAGTCATCTTGGTGCCTATTTGAGAGGTCTTATTTTATAAATTTGGATGAAAAGTATTTTTGTTATTCATTGTATATATATGCATTTACATGTAATAAATTTCTAACTTCGTACATTTGTTTTAATAATAATAATAGTAATAATAATAATAATAATAATAATAATAATAATAATCTTTTACTATAATATTTGAGACTCATGTCTCCAAGAAGTTGGCATGTGTCATCTTACATGGCAATTTTTAAATGACATGCCACATAAATAAATTACATGGCATGTTTTAAATGCTCATTCATCATTTATGGAAATTTATTTATGATAACCTTTAAAATATGATGAGTTTAAAACAATATATATTTTTATTGAAAAATGATGGACTTTTGAATTTATTGAAGATTGTGTAAATGAAATAAATGTAATTTTTCACCAAAAATTATATAAATTAATCACAAAAAATAAACTAAACATGATTAGCCTGGGTCTTTTTTTATAAAAACGAAAATAATATTAAAAGTCTTTTGAGTAAAATATAGTTCTGTAAAAACTATTAATTTATTCTTTTGTATGAAAATTTATTGAGCTAAATCATACTTTGGAATAGCTCATCTTATACGAATAATTAAAGATGAGAGATTTATTAAAGAAAATTAGCCCATTATGGGTTTGTATATATTAGAAAATTAGCCCATTATGAAAACTTTGTGGTTTGATGTATTCAATAACTTTTTTAATAATTGAAATTTTCTTAAATATACAATAGGGAGTATAAAAAATCTATCAAGATTTAAATTTTGTTTGAGATATTACATATTATCTCATCACGGTATTTATAGTCTTTAAAAGTATTTTTTTATGATATAAATAGTTTTTATAAATGATAAAACTTTTGTTTTTAAATGAAAGTATTTTCATAAAGGAAATATAAATTTTAAAAAGAATTGTTTACATCCTCTTTTTTAGTAAGACTTTCTGAGCTTTTAGTTTTCCTTATTGGAACATAATTTTCATAGAGAAAATATATAATAATAAAAATAGATAATTGAAAAAAATATAATCTTGATATTCATATATTTATAGATTCAAGTATTGAATGACAAGACATTTTTGAATAGAATATATTAAGGCCCCGTTTGGTATCAGCGTTAAAGATTAGCGTTAGCGTTTTGAAAAAGCTATCCGACGGTAGCCTTTAGCGTTAGGGTTTTCAAAATTAATCTGGACCATTAAAATTTTATTCAAAACGCTCTTACCAAACAAAGCCTAAAATAGTTCCAGTGCTCTAAATGGTTTGAAAAAAGGTATGCACACGCATCACATCGGTTTGTACTATTTTTCGTTCATTTTTTCATTAAAAATGGGGCATTGATACACATTCCAATAAACATGAGCTGATGAGCATCAATGCATATTATCATTTTTTAGCTTTTTTCATATGTAACTATTCTTTATAATGTTTTAAAATTCAAATTGGTTTGTATTTGAAATAAAAAATCGGAATTAAAATATATATATACTTTCTCCATCTAAAGTTAAACCTTTTTGTTTTTATAAATTTGGATGAAAAGTATTATTGTTTATTCGATGTTTATGCATTTGCATGTAAAAAAACTACTCCGTATTAATTTCGTATAGTAATAATACACAGAGGTTCTACATCCACTCACTTTAAGTGGTTCCAGATAACACTAGCTTCATTAGAAGTATCTATGGTGCACCGTTCATAAAATTAATTCCTACCCTCGGCACCATGGTAACCCCCCACCCAGAGCAAGTGGCTCTAGACCCTTTCCGATAATAGTAGTTGCAATGATGATGATGATGATGATGATGATGATGATGATGATGATGATGATGATAATAATAATAATAATAATAATACGAAAAATGCATGCAAATAGTTTTTTAAACACTATTGAAAAGAATGAGAAGAAATTAGATGAAACTAAAAGAGTGGAAAAAATTTTGAAAATGTTGGAAGAATTAAATTGAAAGAAATTAGAAAGAGTTGAAAGAAACTAAAACAAGTTAAAAGGTAATAACAAAAAATTGGAAAACAATGGAAGTTCAAGGTGCATTTAGTTGTGGGTAATATGTGTTTTGATAATTATTATAGGAGAAACAAATTTTCATAAAAAATCATTCTCTCCCACATATTTTATTGAAACCATATTGACATTTTAATAAAAATAAAAATATTTTGAGATAATTTTAAAATATTTT